CACTTCTGCAGAGGTTTTTCTGGCTCCTTTTCTCGGGCAGTGATTCTCTTTGGGTTGCGTGGCATAAACGGCAAAACTTTGATTCTCCATACCAGTTCTTAACCCAACATGAAACGCCAAGCCAATCCTGGAATTGGCACTGCTTACTTCATTTGAGGGACCTTACTTCTCACTTCTTATTTAGTGAAGTCAAAAACGGTAAAGATACAAGCTTGTGGTGCGATAATTGGACTCCATTGGGCCCCTTAATTTCTATTTTCGGCGAAGATGGAAACCGCATGCTAAGGACCAGACCCGATGCTTCTGTTGCTGATGTTTGCAATGCCACAGGTTGGACACTTCCTCATCCTCGTTCTGAGGAGGAAGTAACTCTTCACACTTATCTCTCTTTGATCCTTATTCCCTCACCGGATCTGGGTACATACAGTTTCAGCTGGAAGGTTACCTACTCTTCCTCTAAAACTTGGGAGGTCACAAGACCAAGAGGAACAAGACAAGCCAGCGTTAAGCAAATATGGTTTAGCGGTGCAACCCCGAAACATGCTTTTCACATGTGGGTTACTAATTTAAATCGGCTTCCCACAAGGGATAAATTGTATGCTTGGGGTATGCAAGTATATCCAAGTTGATGCATCTGCTCTCTTCACCCTGAATCTAGAGACCATCTCATGCTCTCTTGTCCTTATTCGTTGATGATGTGGTCTGAGGTTGCTCGCATGCTCCGGTGTATTGTGCCTACTTTCAGCGACCTGGTTGAGCTTATTACTGGGTTTGTAGTTCATGCCCTACTGCCCCCTCTGTGCTAAGAATGCTTGTGGTGCAGTCTGTTGTTTACACGGTTTGGCATCAGCGCAATAATATGCTCTTTAACCAGACTCTTTCTCTCCTGCTTGCGGCGTTCAAGGACATCAAAAAGCAGGTCGTTAATTCCATCCTCGCTTTGCGGACTAGGAAGAAATTCAGAGCCCTCATGCAGCTTTGGTTAATCTGATCCTATGTGTTTGATCATAGGTCTCTGTTTGGGTTAGGAACTCCATGATATCTATTTAGCATCAATCATACTTTGGCTTCTTTAAAAAAAAATCAAAATCCCTTAAAACATTCAGAATCTACTTTTTTCTCTTTTATTCATGTTTGTTTGCTTTTTTTTTTAAAAAAAAAACAGAAATAAAAGTGTGATTGGTAGTTGCATAGTTGTTGTCCACATCTATATTATTAAAATAGAAATACATATATAGATTACTTATTAGTTTTTCAAGTTGTTTACAATCATATGCCACTAAAATAATAAATTTACCTATCTTTTATTATTGTTGTCTTTTTCTTATTTATTAATGCATTTTCCTTAATCTAAATCTTCCTTAGAAAAATGCAATAATGTCAAAAAGAAAAATTAAATTGCATTGCTATTATAAGGATGTTAATATGCCGTTATGTAATTGTAACCTACTTCATTTTTCTAATGTAATCCACAATCATTTATCCTTTTTTCTTCTTAACCAATGGAACCTTCATACAAAGCAATGAGGTTAATTTAGTTTCCTTTTTTCTTTGTAAAATCCAGACCAACCTGACTAAATCAAAAATTCATACGTTCATGTGTATAAAATACAAACCAGTTATAAAAACTAATATATTCATTTTTAGCTTTGTTAAACAAACAAAATCAGTAAATTCAAAATCAAAACCAGAATATCTTTTAGTCCTTATGTACATAATCAATAAAAAATATTTATTATAGCAATAAAATATAGAAATTAAAACACCAAATAATTGTAATATTATCCATACCAAATCACCTAATTTGTTTGAAACTTAATTTGTTTCCCTTGCCTTACGGATCAAACTACAATAGTTATAGAAATTTAATATAAAAAGCTTATCCAAAAATTCTTAACCACTTATATAAAAAAATCAGTTCTCCAAACTTCTATATCATTTTTATTTTTCAAAATTTTAAATTCAATGTTTTAAATCTGATTTGGACAATTTTCCAGGTCACCAGGGTTTTTTTTCAACGATCAGGTCACCAGGTTATTGGGTCGATCACGGGTGAACCACATGTTAAAAAATTAATTAATTTGTTACATAACTACAGAATTTTGAAGAAACAAAATAAGTAGAATTTATCTATTGGATCAGCCAGAAATTGAACTTATAGTCGGATTCAAGGTTTTTAACGGTCTTTTGCGATCCGGTTTTTGTGTTATGTTGTTTTCTAAATATAAATCGAGTTACATATGGGTCACCATATTTACTGGTTCGACATCAGTCCAGATCGGGTTTCCAAAAACTAATAACTATATTACAAAAACTATATAATACAAATATAACACTAGTACAAATAAAAATTAAAAATTGAAAATAAATACTCGCGCGGTTGCACGGATCAAGGTCTAGTTTCCATTTATTTCTACAGCACCAAATTCACACCAATCAAGCTTTAATCACTTTCTTAAAATCACAACTCTTGAAATAACTTACAACTATAAAAGTGCTATGTAGAGTCAAATATCTATAGTATTTTTTGGGTTAATCTTCGCCAATTTTATCACATCAATGAATGTCAAAAGAGATTTGAAAACAGATTCAATAACGCTGCGATCGAAAAATTCACCAATAATGGCTTTAAGTTAACTATTGTTCATTGATCCAAAATAGAGAGTAAAGAGACGACCATCGATACATTCGAATCGCATTAAAAAAAAGAACACGGTGATAATAGCCATGTTCTTTTGGTCAACGCTGCCGCGGCATCCGGTGTCATAGAAATTACAAAGAAAACAGTTTATTTTATGGGATTCTCATTTAGTTGGTGTCCCTGCGTTTTGTAAAAAACAATCGTGTCCTACATTTTTTCCGACGCTAGATTTCAAAGCGTCACAAATCTCCATGAATTTTAGGTCGCGGTATTGTTAGCGTATATTCTATAAACACAGAAAGAAAGGATTCATTCACGATAAAAGCAGTGTCCTTTGTATTTTCTTTGACATCGGACGCTGCGGCAGCGTCGACCAAAAGAACATGGCTAATAACAGAAGAAACACAGAGAGAGAAATAAATAAGAGAAGAGACTGGAGAGATTAATCGGAAAAGAGACTTGGTCGGAGAGAAACATAAGCGATCAAGTGGCCTATCTGTCACTCGATTAACGTTTTAACCCTTCGAGTCAAACACAATCGTGACTTTAAAAGTGCGAAATTTTTGTCTGATCCAAGAATAGAGATATCATATTTTTCCGATAAGCAACCTAGAAATTGAAATTAGGGTTTCAAAATTCACTTACGGTCTATTATTAAGGAATCAAATGACTATACGAGTTAATGTTATTATTTATTTTAAGATTATATATGAATTTTTTTTTTATATTTAGTCACAACATGTCTGATAAGTCCAATTAAATTAAAAACATACCATGGTAAAATTCAAATAGGACCTTAAATTAACAGATTAGATATACTATTCATGACAAGTACACTCAAAGGTATTATCAATGTAAACAAATGTATGCAGAGCTGTGACAAGAATTTTATATGCCATTGACCAAATAAAATAAATATTCTAACTTTTATTATTTTCCAAAGAAATAATAAATATTTTTTTTTGAAATAAAATATTCAAATAAAAATTTACCCAAAATATACTTGTTATTATTTAATTTTGTCAAAATAAACACAGAAAATATTATTTATTTTTAGAAAGGCTTTTAGAAAGTATTATCTTTAAGATAAATAATATACTATTTATTTTCATTCATAATTTTTTCTTTTTAGAATAAATAATAATATGAAAAAGTGTTCAAAGGATATTAAGAGTGGTTAAGATTCAAGAATAATATGCTTTACTCATAACACTTCTTAAAATATAATAACATGCTATTATATATCTCTAAATGTAGACATTATTGAAGATAATAATAAGAATTCAAAAATATCTTTAAATGTAGACATTGTTGTAGTTAATCAGTTTAGAAGGTAAGCTGTGATTGTAGAAAAGAAGTATTCAAAATATTTGTAGTGATTTAAATTTAAAATACAAATTTAGAAAATTACCAATGGACCATACAAAATAGTAATTTTATAAATATGCCTTACAAATCAATTTTACATAAAATAATGCCCTAAACCAATGTTTTAAATTTTCTTTGGAAGCACGGATCTGAATGTATGGATATGTGTCTACATTCAAATAAACATGTTTTTCTCTGAACATTAATGATCTAACTCAAATAGGATTAAGTCTAAATAAAAATATAACCAACTGAGTTTAATATTAATTTTGATAAAATAATAACTACTCAAGATCAATATATCTGTCAGATTATTCAAATGTTTATTATTAACACTGATTTATTATGATATTACAATTATGAAAAAAATTACATAGATAATTCGACAACCGACAATATTACCTACCTTATGATGATCTACACCTAACTGCATCACCTGAACCTTCCTATGAAAAATTATGTCTGGCCGAGTTTATTTGCACTATGCTGAAGATCTCTTGTAAATATTTCTTTCATAGCCTGCATAATTGTTTAAAAAATCGTTTTCGCTAGCGATTGAAACCTGGACCTTCTGGTGTAGAGGCATTAATGAACCCTCAGTCAAACCATTAGACCAAGGGGGTTTCCAAAATTATTCAAATGTTTAAGAAATGAACCTTAACCTAAGTTCACCAGCCAAAATGGTATGTAATAGGTACTTAGAGTATCAATTACAATGTTTCAGTATTTATCAATGAGCACCAGTGGTCTAGTGGTAGAATAGTACCCTGCCACGGTACAGACCCGGGTTCGATTCCCGGCTGGTGCATTTTTTTGTTTTCTTAACTTTTTTAATTCGGCGAGTCCTATTCTATTTCGAGATAGGCCCAATATGTTTATGACCGTAGGCCCAATATCTATGTATTTAATATATAGACAAGACAAAACCTTTTCGTCAAGTCAGAACACAAAAGGATCCTCCATTCACTCGAACTTTCCTCCGACAGAATCGATGGCGAATTCAGACACAGTTATGCTCGTAATCAGATCCTCTCGGCCACAGTTTCGCAACAACCGCGACAAGGTAGCCTTCGTAGTCCACGCTTCTTTCATCTCCTCAGGTTACAAGCTCGTCGCTACAGGACGCCCTGCGCTCGCCGAAGACGCTCTCTCCTCCTCTCCTTCCCAAGGTTTCGTTTTGTTTTAGGGTTTTTTATTTATTTCTATCGAAATTTCTAGGGTTTATGATTCTGATTCTCTTGGTTTTTGTGGAATCTAGGAGAGGTTGGGATTGAGGGGTGGAACGAGTTCGAGGAGTACGCGTTTGTGTATGCGAAGAAAGGATCGAAGAAGATTCTGGTTAAGTGCTTGGTGATTGATGATAAGGTTCTTGTTGATGCTATAGCTGAAGGTGGAAGAGAGCCTGCTCATCTCGAGATTGAGTATGTTGTTGTTGTACTCTTTTTATTTGTAGTGGATTTTATGGTACTCGAAGTTTATTCTTTTTTCTATTTTCTTGCAGTGTTGAGAAGTATGTTGCTGAGTCGAGCGAGGAGGGTGATTACGATGCACAGTTCAAGAATTTGGAGAAGTTAGTTACTGATTTGCAGAATCAGATACTGTACAAGGTTGATGAAGGGCTTAAACCTGTTCCTCCTACTACGACTCGGTCAAGGTAATACTACCCTTAATAGTTACAAATAGTTTTAGTGCTCATAAGCTGTTCGTAGATATATTTGGGTTAGGAACGAACAGATGAGTTTAGTTGTAGTGTTGCAGTTAACATTGATTCGTTCAAATGGATCTGACTTAGGTTGCTCATTAATAGAATCGTTTTTGTCTATGTTCTAAATTACCGTAATAATGTGCTGAGGCTACTGAATATTGTATCTTGGTTTTTATAAACAAGGTTTTGCCTTAAGGTTCATATAAGTGTTTTCCATCTTGGAACTTCTTTATTTGGAAGTATTCGTTTGTTGTAGTGTTTCAGTAAACATAGATCTTTTCAGATGGATATGACCTGAGTTACTCAGTCATAGACTCATAATATTGTATCTTGATTTTGATTTTGATGAACAAGGTTTTGCCTTGGTTCATATAGTTTTTCTCATCGTGAAACTTCAATTTTTGAAGCATTCGTTAGTTGTTGGACAGTTATGATATATGGTTTATAAGTTATAGTTCTGAAGTGTCTTCATCGTCATCCTTGGTTGCTTGCAGATCGGAGACAAATGAAGAGCCTGAGGCTGGATATTACGTAGGAAGGCCTGTTCCATTAGGTCCTCAGATTCACCCCTCAGGGTAATAATACGTCGACCACTTCTACTGCTTACTTTAGTTTACTAAAACTCATCGGTTATTGATTTTACTTGGTAGGGTGGTAGTTCCTCCTATACCCGGCCCAGGTTACAGCGATCTCATCCCTGGCCCAGGTGCTGGAGTATACCCGGTCAGGGGTGGTTTTGGCGATGGAAGCATGCTTATAGGACCCAATGATCCTCGCATGTTCCCCGGGATTGGTGATCAACCTGACTTCATGGGACTACCACAACCGTAAGATCTATTTCTTGCATCTTTTTTCTTTTACACTGCTCATTTTGTTTAACACAATAAAAGCTCTCATTTGTTTCTGTCAAATTAAACATGTATTTCTTTTGGTTTTAACAGGGGTGTGCCACCTCCTGGTGCACGCTATGATCCTATTGGCCCTGGTTTTGAGCCAGGCCGGTTAGGAAGGTGAGTAGTCTTTTTAAACAACCGAACAGATAAGCTCCACAATCAAAATCTGTTATCTGACGTCTTGTTTATCTGAATCTTGATAGGCAACCTCCAAGGAGGCCAGGGGATATTCATCCAGATCTTCAGCATTTTCCCCGCGGTTTTGGTTCAGATTATATCTAGTCAAAAGTAAAGTCATGCTCGAAAGAAACAGAAGAATACGTGGTCATAAGAACGTCATCTCTGTGTGTTAAAGAGTCTTTAGTAGTGTCTACGTGCAGACAATAGGATCTATTTTGCTTTGCTTTTTGTCTGAAATTTATTTCTTTTGGTTTATAACTTTATATCCCAAAGCTGGTTGTGTTTATAACTTTGTCATATACATATATATAAATAAAGTTTTGGCTTGTTTTGCTTTTGAATTCCTTTTGGTTAGCGTCTGAATTTGTTGACATATATAGGCATTATTCTCTTTGCGCTTCAACTACTTTGCTTCTTTGTTTATGAGATTATATTGTTGACACATGTCTTAGGGGCAACTGAAGTTGAACTGGGGAAAAAGTTGTATAATTGTTGTCCCTAGTGTGTAATTAATGTGTTAGATTCCATTGTAAAGAAATCTGATTATGATCTTGAACTGCAGGCTCAAACATTTAGTTCTAACTTCCAATAAAAAATGTGTTCACCCGGAGCTATTTTTTTCTTTTATGGACTTTACATGTTGCCCACATTTCAAACTATTTTAAGCATAGAATATGGAAGTATGATGTAGTTAATACTCTCTTTTCGTTAATAAAACAAAATCAAATTTAGAGTTGATTCATTTCATGTATTATTGATATAGTTATTAGTTACAATCATACTGATATACAAAACATTACATCTTTATTCATGTACCATATAAGGCATTTGAGATGTAGTAGTAAACTCCAAAGGTTCCTCCCAAAGCCCATGAATCTCCTTCATCATTTTCCTCAACACTTCATGGAAGTGTGTATGCTATAAGGAACACACAACAAAAACATAATATTAGTAGTAACTATTAACATTATCGACACTTCACGATTAAGCATTTTTGGCTAATATATAGTTTTGATACGTCACTTATGTTCTAGTTGCATACAAAATTAAATTATGCAAACTTTGAATATAAAGCATGTTATAACATAGTATCACATTTACACGTTACTACTTACGTCCGCACTTGTAACCAATGGGGCGGTTAGCGAAGTTGCAGCGTTTAGGGATGGTAAGAGCAGTCTCCGGCTGCACGCCTGAGGCTTTAGCTGTGTCGGAGAGTAGAACGGCGCAGAGACATTTAGGATTCTGAGAGAATCTTTTAATCTGAGCACAGCAACCTCCCGGCACGGCGGCGTTAGCGTCCTGAGCCGCGCCTACACATGGAGCTAGCTTCATCGCCTCATTGTCCGGAGAAGATTTACCGCATTCTCCTGCTCCGTCTACAACGGCTCCGATAAGGAGAACAAGGCCAAGAACGAATAGAAATTTCATGGAAGATGCCATTTTGTTTGTGGAGAAGAAAATGAGTTTTGAGATAATAATCTTGTCGATCTTGTTTGTGTGTTTCAAATGGATTTGTGAATGTGTGATTTATATAGGGGAAGTTTTGTCTTGGATTCATGGCATTGAAGGTATAGTGGAGTAAGCACTTGAGTGGAGAGGAGGTATAGTGTTCTTACCAACAACAGAAGTTCCAGGTGTTGATGTCTGAATGATCACTTAAAAATCGTCCTAATGCTTATTTTATTTCGTTATTGGCATTATCAAATGGGATGGTGGATTTGTGGGAGTTGTATCATCACCGGCCTTGGAGATTTTGAAATGGTGTTGATGGCAGATTATTATATAATGAGCCTATTGAATTTGGTTATTTTTTATTCTTTTTTGTGTGTCGGAAAGCTTCAGACTTGTACAGAGAGTTTGGTATAATCCGAGGCAAGTTTAATTCAATTACTAACTAAACCAAATCGGCTTTGGATTAGTACTTGAGTTAGCTACTAGAAGATAAGAAGACGTTATTAAGCTCTTACTCAAAGCTATCTTCTTCTTCATCTATTTCCCACTATATTAAGAATTATTTTTTGCCTACAATCAGGTGACAATCTCAAAGTTTTGCAAAAGTCTGTTATTATTACTAGAGCATGTCTACATTAAGCATTGAAATAGCTTATTAATAAGAATATGGCTTAATAGTATCTCAGTATCAAAATTTGGCATTTCTATATAAAGAACTTATTATTTCTCTGTAAACCAATAAACTTATTATTTCTCTCTGTGTATTTTTTTATAATCTTGAAATTTTTCTTTCTCAGATTTTCTAATATTTGTCTTCATCAATGACCATTACAAAGGCATCCAACAACTTTATAGACCTGGACATTCGGATCTTATCGGTGATTCTTTTAGATCTTAGATATTTGAATCCAACATGGATGATTAGAATTTGACGGTAAGTTTGATTTAGGTTTGTCGAATCTGGATTGGTTCGGATTCTGTTGGATCTGGATCGGTTTGAGTTTTAGATATTTGTATTCAATAGAATAATTAAAATTTGTTAGTTCAGGTCATGTCGATCCAGGTCGATCGGGATTAAATAGGAATTTAAATTTTTTTAAAGTTTCATACACGTACATATACATATTTAATTTTTTCTGTGATAATTACCGGTGTTTAATGTGGTATGATGGTATTTCAATAGGAATTCACACTTCTAGTTGAGTTCTATGCTTTTGATTGCAGATGATATTTCTAAAGAATTACTAATTTCAAATATCTCATATCAGAAAATGTTAAACTTGTTCAATATTTTTAAAGAATTTACTAATTCCAAATATCCCATATCAGAAAATGTAAAACTTAGTCAACAGGAACATCTAGTATAAATATGTCATGTTGCTACTCTTAATCAGCACTCAAAGGGGTGATAATATAGTCAAGGTCCATCATTTATAGATCGAGAATCAATTAAAATAGATTGTAAATCCTAATATATTAAAATAGATTGTAAATCCTAATATATACTGTGTTTCAAAAAAAAAAATCCTAATATATACTAGAAATTTGAAATAATTACCCTAAGAGACACATCTTCAGTTATCAATATCACTAATAGACACAAAGCACATATAACATACTTTATGCTTGCTAAAAGACCAAAATAACCTTTAATTCACGTTTGTTTCTTTCCTCACATCTCCTTTCGTTAACTTAATTAAAGTCCAATTAGTTTTTTTTTTAAATTATCTTATCCATCAAATTTCTTTAAACCAAATTAGAATTATCAAGAAGTAAACTAAAGCTCTTTTTTCTATCGATCTAGAAATTGAATTATGAAAACGAACCCTAATCTTATCATCTCCCTTCTGACATCTTCTCTTCTCCCTTACGACATCTTCTTCTCGATTATCTTCCGTCATCTTCTCCATCTCGATTGTCGGTGTTATCGATGTCATCTATCGCCGCCTCATCATCAATCTCCAACATGGAATGCTAGATTTCAATTATAGAAGAGATTACTTGAGTATACTTGGTTCTCTCGGTGAAACCCTAACTCTTTGCATCTTGTTTTTAATTTTGCAGAGAACAGAGACCACCGTCTCCCCGAGACGCTCTTCACAACTCTGCTGACCACCAAACATCTGACCACAATTCCCCTGACCTCAACTCCACTGATGACCATATATCAACTGACCATAGATCTTGGCGTCTAGATGAGCATGACGCTTTATCCACACCGAGTGAACTTGGAAGATTCTGCTCTTTTGAAAGTGTGACATAGTTCATTAGACTGTCATGGAGATGGTCAGATTGGCTCTAGTATCGCGTGTTCTTTGCCTCTCTGATGTACACGAATCTTTGTCCACGTAACCATAATGTGACGATAGTTATGGTGAGAAAGTTGTTTTCTCTGTGATTGACTAAACAAAACAAAGTCTTTCATGTCACGGCCATGGTTTGTGGAGTCTCTCAATGTACAATTCTCCTGACCACAATTCCTCTAACCACAACTTAACCGACCACAACTCACCTAACCACATATCTCCAACCAACAACTCTTCTGACCACAACTCCCCTAATCATAAATCAACAATGTGATGCACTGACCCCATGTAAGCCTCTTCTTTTCCGTATGTTATCACCTCAATTTTCAATCCAATTTTGTTTATGTTTCACTCTGTGTGGTCTGTCTCTTTGAGATTTAAAGGTCAATGTTGAATATGGAATTTCGTTTGCCCTTTTTCTAGGCTACTTTACGCTGTTATATAAATTTCTAGTTGAAAGTATTGATGTTCCACATTATAAGTTTGTTATTATTGATAGTGTGTGTAAATTTCAAATTGAAACTAGTGAGCAGTCTCGTTAGTAGTTTGTAGTAGGTACTCCAAGTTTTATGAATAAAAAGCTAGAGGCTTTGGATCTTGGTTCATAGATTTCAGCTTATGAATTTTCCTGCAATGGGTATGGCATCAGTGGAATCTCAGTTTCATGTATTAGTTATTGATGATAATCTTTGAAGCTTGTAAGAACTGAAAAAATATCTAAGCTTTATATATTTTTTCTCTTTTTTTTTGTGTGTGATATTTGCAACAACAACTGATAATTCAAAGGGAAAATTCAATTATACTATTTTGGTGGTATAATTTTTCATGTTTACCATCAACAAATGAACAATTTCAAAAATACATTTTTCATTAAAGGATAAAAAACTCTTATATCCTTGTTCTTTATATATACATATAAAATAAAAATTTAAAAAACTAAAAACTACTAAATAAATATTTTTTTTTTTTTTATTTTTTCAAATTATATACTATTTTGAAATTCAAACCTTAAACCCTAAACTTTAAACCATAAACTCTAAATCATAAACTCTAAACCCTATATTTTCTCGAAATATAAACCTTAAACCATCAATACTAAACTTTTAACCCTAAAACATCAATTCTAAATCCTAAATCCTAAAAAAATAACCCTAAACCCTAAAACATCAATTCTAAACCCTAATCCCTAGGAATCAACCCTAAACCCTAAACTATCAATTCTTAACCCTAAACCCTAAACTATAAACACTAAATCCTAAACCCTAAAAAGTAAACCCTAAATCCTAAAAATAAACCCTAAACCCTAAAATATCAATTCTAAACCCTAAAACCCTAAACCTTAATTCTATACCCTAAACCCTGAATGTCATACCCTAAACTTTAAATTTTAACCCTAAAATTATAAACCCTAAACCCTAAATTCTATACCCTAAACCCTACATTCTAAATCCTAAACCTTAAATTCGAAATCCTAAACCCTAAATTCTAAACCCTAAATTCTTAATCCTAAAATCTAATTCTTAATCTTAAACCCTAATCCATCAAAACCTTATTAAAATTGTTAAATTTAGTAAGTTAAGGGTATAATAGTATTTTGTTTATTAAAATTTTAATGATAAAGTTGGTTAGTGTAAAGTTAAAAATTGGTATTTTCGAAGTGTTCTTTCTGACAATTTTCCATAGTTCAAAGTATGAGGTTTTAGAGTTTCTTAGTTTAAGACAAGGTACTGATGGTAACAACCCAAATGTCCTTTCTACATCTCCTATGATAATTGCAGCAACAACTTATGATTCAAGCTATGAGGCTTTAGAGTTTCTTGGTTTAAGAAAAGGTATTGACGGTAACGACTCAATTTTTCTTTCTACATCCTGATCAAGTTACTCTCTAGCTGCTGATTAAATATTTCGAATATTTATCAGATTTATCAGATCTTGGATTTGGCCTGAATCGAGTTTAAGATCTGTGGGTCTTCTATAACAAAACCAATTTAGTAAAACAACATCCATACTCAACCCGAACTTATTTTTGGGTCGGTTTGTTTTGGATTTTAAAGTCCGGATAAAATGTCCAGACATACAACTTTCCATGTGGAATCTCTAGCACGAGCTCATTTAAACTATTTTGGATCTTATAGAAATTGTTTAGCCGATCCACCGTAAGATCATGTGAAGATCGCATGGAGAGGTTCCAGAAAATCACACTGAAAATACATGAAATAATTAGAAAAACAAACAAAAAAGTTTAACAAAAATCTCTCTGTTTTTTTTGTTCGACAACTACTATGGAGTTTCATACATTGATATGATTCCAAACAGAAGAAACACAACCAATAAAAAAGGGTTTTTTATTAAAATCATAAATTGCGACATTATTTTTGGTAGAACATAATGAGATAGACATCTCTTTTTAGTTATCCTTGACAATGGTGACAGGGCAAGGCGCGTGGTCGATAACAGAGCGGCTCACGCTTCCCATTATTATCCTGTTTCAATATCAAAACTAATTAGACATTTACGCTCGGAAATAATTCATCACACAGACTTGCAGAAAGAAACAAACAGTTAAAACATAACAAAATAAAAGTTAAGTGTTGATATTATTTTACAAATGGTTAACCGGTGATAAACTTAACCTGGGAAAATTCAGGAAAAAATAAGTAAAAGACAAGTATGTTAAAGAAACGCGAAACTTGTTTTGTTGATCGACTGCAAGTGTAAACATTGATCAGATTGTCTAAAAATCTAAAAAGGTTGTTTCTTAGTTAAGAGATAAGCCACAATTTTAAAAATAAACCTAAAACATAATTAGTTGTCGTTTTCCCGTGACCTTATCCACTTTCGGTGGGAAATAATTGTCCTTGAAGCTCTATTTATTTAATATATTCTTCCTCTAAATACAAATCTTTTATCCAAAAAGGAATTGAATTTTGACTTAGAAAACTAATAAGAAAATATTGCAAGAGCCTAGTGTTATTTGACATTTTAATTCTTTTAGATAACAAATTATGTTAAGCATAGACGGCAATCTATCATTTAATTTAACCAATCAACCTATTATCTCACAAACTATAATAATATGGATATACAGACAAAACCATGGCATTTTGGCAAGAATAATATTTCACAAAATATCGAATTTTTATGAAATAAAAGAAGTAAAGATAAACCTTTGAAGGGCACTGAGTCCTCTGCTTCCCATGACAATAGAATCCAGTTTGAGTTCTTTAACAGCATCAATCAGCTTCTCTCTTGCATCACCCCAGTATAGTTTTGTCACTACATTCACCTATTATAACCAAACCAGCAATTAATAGATCGTCCAAACGTATTTTGATCAAGATCAAGAAGCATATATAAAGAACCTCTTTCTTCCTTGAACCAGTGTCGAGCATGTCAAGACATGCGATGTCGATCTTGACACCGTAGTGCTCCATGATCTTCGGTTCCCTAAATTCAACCAACGGTATGAGAGCTGCAACAACACCAAGTTAAAACCGGATTAAACCGATATTCAATTGCAAAAAATCCCAAAACCGGATTAAAGGAGACATACGAGAACCGGATTCGATCCAAAGGGCGTTACGAGACTCAGCGTCAGAGGTTGGTAACGTGTGGATGATGTAAAGTGTGTCTCCTTTGTCAGCTAAGTTGTCGATGGCCCACTTGAGTGCGTTCTTGCTGCTCTCTGAGAAATCCATGGCGATTCCAATCTTCCTGTCTTTAGTCATCGTTCGTGGTTTTCTTGATCGAACCTGAAGTGATTTTTTTTTCAGATCTTACAGATAGAGAGATGGTGAAGAGTTGTTAGAATGTAGCTTACTAGCTACGAATGTTAAAGTTAATAGGATTTGAATAAAGCAGAGACAGAGACAAAGAATGAAGTTTCCTCGAAGTTTCGTCTGTTGTGGGATCCACTGATTGCATGCATCTAAACCGTCAGTTTTAATATCCTACGGCAGAATGAGGAAGTATGAGATTTTTTCATAATGAATTCTTAATAGTTTAAAGGGAAATTACTAAAACTACCACTTTGATGATAAACTATTTCACTTTTACATTAACCAACTTTACACTTATAATTTTGATAGGGAAAAGACCATATAACCCTTGATTAATCAAACATATTCTTCCTCCATCTCTTTTCTTCTTCGATCTCCGATTTTCCGATCTCTGACTCGCCGATCTCCGAATCGCCGATCTCCGACGAACGATAAGAAGAAGAACTCATTCGCCGATCTCCGACAAATTCGACAATATTCGGCGAAATTTACTATTTCTGCATATGAATACAGAAGAAGAGAGGAGAAGTAAATCAATCAAAGACCGCTCTCTTGCATCATCTCTCTCCGTCTCATCTCCCTCTGGTATACACACCACTCTCTTTAACTTTCTCCTTATCGTTTTTTTAATCTTGTTTTTTTGTGTGTGTGTGTTAAGATTGGAAGATGATGCTGGTTGATCTGAGGAACCACGGGAGATCAACGGAGGTGGAAGGCGTTAACCCTCCTCACGATCTTGTGAACTCAGCCAAGGATTTAGCTGATTTGGTGAAGGCGAACGGGTGGAGTTGGCCTGATGTGGTGATTGGTTCCTTAGGAGGGAAAGTTGCGTTGCAGCTTATGGAGTTGTGCTCGTGGTGATTTGGGTGTCTCTGCTTCTCCTCCTAAGCATGTATAAAGATTATCTCTTTTGATGTAAAGATGTTGCCGTTTGTTATTTTGGTGTGATGAAGATAGTAAAGTTTTGTTTCTTTGATGCAGAACAGCTTTGGGTGTTAGACTCTGTTCCTGGGGAGGTTAAGGATGAACAAAGTGATGGTGAAGTTGAGAAAGTTCTAATGACGTTGCAGAGTTGAACTGAAAGAAGAGGTGACTCATCGTTGGGTGTTCTAAGACTACCTTAGACTATTGGCACAGCACTGAAGTTATCCAGTGGAGAAAGCACTAGCCTCTAAAATTAATGTGAATGTCGTAGCAAGCCAGTGAGTCGCATCAGTGTTCTGAGTTGTGTGATCCTTTGTGACATCAGAAGAGACGTCTACTACCTGAGCGATAACTATCTCAGAAATGATTAGAGGATAAATGGTATTTTGAAACTGAGAAAGCAAAGCAGATTTACAGTTCAGTGAGCATTTTAGGCTAACAAGAAGATGGAGTGAAGAGCTCTCGAAAGATAATGGTTCTGCCTAAATTTGGTTCTGGTGTACAAGTCAAGAAGATGACATATGTTCGTGTTGCTGGCTGCAGAAAAATCGGAGACAGATAGAGAAACAGAGCTTTAGAACAGTTGTGATGTCACAAGATATCCTCAGTGTACGATTCAAGGTAGCATTGCTCGACCTAAAGACGATCATGTTCTAAAGGTACCTCCTTTGTGTTGCGTTCTGTATGATAATCCTTTCTTTGTATGGTGATTCGAAGTCATGTTTATTTACCCCTTCATGTGTAGTATTAATAGCCTCTAGGAGATGAATATAGAGAACAGATTATTACTCATAAAATGCTTGGTTTAATTGCTTATGCGTGTGACTTTTACCTCAAAGCCCCTATGTTTTGTGTAGCGCCTTAGTGCTGCATGGAGGAAAAAGTTTGGCGAAGAAGTTGGGGAAGACAGTTTATATGTTGTCGCTGTTGACCGTGTACTCCAGATGGAAGACTTCATGGAGGTAGGAATCACTAGCTCTTTTCTAGTTTTATAACAGACTTGTTGATCTCTCCTCCCAATTAAAAGAAGAAGAAGAAGAAAGTCTTGTTTGTGATCCAAACTCTGATAAGAACGTCCTAAAACTTTTGCAGGATGGGATCTGGGTGGCGTCAGCAGATTATAAAAATGCAAGTCCTGATCCACTTCGAGATGTTGCAGAAGACATTGTCAACAATATTAACACTAACAACATGGAAGATATTTTCCATTTCTGCAACGTATACGTTGATCTAGACTTTGTGGTTAGTATGTACTTAAAGAACGTCCAAATATATTAGATGTTTATGGAGCATATATACTAGTTTCACTTCAGATTAGTTGGCTTGTGGAATGATCAGAACTATACTTTCTCTGCCTAATGACCGGTTTCTGGGGAAAATGCTGCAAAAAGAACAATGGAGGCAGAGATTCTGAAGACTGAGAGGAACGCTGAGATTGTTGGGTATAAGGAGACCAAATCGTCCCTGCTGTTTTTTTTTTCCTGTTTTGGATGGCGGAAATGAAGCAACTTGTGGATTTGTTCTGTTTTGTAACAATATGATATACTATACATAATGAAGGTAAATGTGTCTCTCCAATCCAGAAGCGATGACACTTGCCAGTTTGTGTACCTGGACCCAAGCGTCTACAAGGAGATGAGCAAGAGGAGGTTGACATTTACTGCAGTAACTTGCATGACCCCGAGAGCTGTTGTGTTCATATTGCGTGTCTTAATAGGCATAGAGTGTTTATTCGAAGACGTTTGTTACAGAAAACGTCATGGTCCTAAGCATCCAGTGGTCTATCTGTATAAGGAAATAGAAGTTCACTTCTCCCTTGTTTCAAGAACCAAAGCTCTCTAGTAATCTTTTCTTTCAAAAACGTCAAGTTACAAAACTAAACGAGAAGTGCAATAATAATTGTTAACATCAGTGATCTTACCAGTAGTCCTTACAAGAACAAGAGCCGTTTGTAAAACAATGAAACCTGTTGTTATCTCTAACAACAATAAAAATGTTTCTTTTATTTTCTCGTATGATGCACACGTAATAGTTAGAAAGATTATGGAAAATTATACATATCATTCTATGATGTTAAAAAGGTTTACAAACTAATTATTGAACTATGATTATAAATGACTTATACAATGATTATAAACTAATTTAGAAAGGCGTATAAACTAATTTATAAAAACTTATAACTAATTTATAAGGGTTTATAAAATCATTAAATAAGGTTCGTAAACTGATTTGTAAAGGTTTATAAGCTTAGTCAATAAGATTACTAAGTTAATGTATAAAAAGCTTATAAAATGATTCATAAAGGTTTATAAGTTAATTTAGAAGAGTTTATACACTAATTTATAAAGGCTTATAAACTAATTTAAGGGTTTAGAAGTTTTTATAAATCTTTATAAATTTATTTTTATTCTTATAGATGTTTTATAATCCCTAATAAATGATTTAAACACCTTTATAAAATGTTTTAACTTTATAACTGAATTACCTTTAGAATTTACAAGTCCTTATAAATGATTTTATAAACCCTTATAAATAATATTATGTATTCTTATAAATGATTTATACATTATAATAAAAAAAATTCTATACATTCTTATAAATTATAAACTCTTATAACCTTTATAAATAGTTATATATATATATATATATGTGTGTGTGTGTTTTATAAACTTTATAGATGGTTGACATGAGGTTTTATAAGCTCTTATAAAATTTATAAATGATTTTATAAACCTTTATAAATAATTATATAAATATTTATAAACTTTTTTTTTATAAACCCTATATAAACTCTTCAAAACCTTTTATAAACCATAACAAATCTTATATAAACTACTAAAGACTCAAACAAACCTTATGTTATTTTGAGCTTTTTAGTGATAGAAACTGTATGATGTTTCGCTTATTGTAAACTTTCATTTGACATTAGTGGGAACTCATCAGAAAAAGAATTCAAAATCCCATGTATCTACTTTTCATTAAATCATAATGTCATTACATAACTTGTTATGTAACTAGGGTGGAATCATCGTGCTTGATCTCAGCCACGTAATAATAATATATGTACATCTCGATGATCTCAGTTCTTCTTGCATTCTTTTCTATATGACAATTCTTGGTTCTTGATTCCAGATCCTGGTCCTGCCTTCCTTCCAAGGAAAAGGATATGGAAGCTATCTCATGGAGGTTGTAAACAAAATGGCCGTAGCAGAAAACGCTTACGATCTTACAGTGGAAGAGCCATCCGAAAAGTTCCAACACATCCGCACTTGCATAGACATAAATCGCTTACTCGCTTTCCAATCAAACCAGCCATAAACTCAGCTGTTGAGACTCTCACGAAAGGAAATCTGTCAAAGAAGGCTGACCCCCCTTGCTATAAACTTGCTTCTTAGAACATTTTGTAAGAATCTATAATATTGACCCCCCTGGTTTGTGTCCCACATGTTGAGGTTAAATTTACATTAGGGCAGTTAGTTACTTTCTTTGTTTCTCATCTTGAGTAAGACATATATGGGACATAGAAGCAAGTGACAAGTGATGATACATCATACATGTGAATGTTGTAATTAATTCTTCCTCCATTTTTTCTTTTGTTGTATCAAAACTTGTTGCCTCCAATGTGTTATCACTCTTGTCTCTTCTATCAGTTTTTTAACATGTTTCCAAGGAATATCAAACTCAATTGCTGTCAAACACCTCCAAATCAACCCATCCTTTAACAACAAACATGTAACGCTTCTCTTATATACTCCCCCCCCCTTGATTTACAAAGATTTATTAGAAATTATAAGCACTTAAAAATAATTTATAAACCTTTATAAATGCTTTATAAGCCATTCAAAATGATTTACAAGCCTTTATAAAATGTTTTAAGATTTGTTAATCATTTGCCCTTAAAAATGATTTATAAGCCTTTATGTGTTAAAACTTTATAAATTGATTTATGATTTATAAAACTGTTATTTATGATTTTATATACTGTCTACCTTTAGCACTGAAAGCATCATTTGCTCTTCTTCGAACACATAATGAACACATAAAGCTGGTTGAATCTCGTAAATGGATTTATAAACTCTTATAAATGGGTTATATAAATTCTTATATATGGTTTTATAAAGCCTTATAAATAGATTTATAAACCCTTATAAATAGAAAACGAATATCTAAAGTTAGATAGAAAAAAAGAAATAGTCAACAGAAATACATCATCTCTCCTGTTAGAATTATTTGAAATGCTAATTCAATAGTAGAATATATTTTGTTTAGTTTATTATTTTAAAAAGAAAAGACTTATTGTAGATCACAAGCTAAATGAGTTATAAACCTTTATAAATGATTTATAAATCCTTGTAAATGATTTATAAACCCTTATAAATAATTTATAACCCTTTATAAAATGACTTAAGACTTTATAATTGAATTACCTTTAGAATTTCTACAAATCCTTATAAATAATTTTATAAACCCTTATAAATTCTTATAAATGATTTATAGACTATTATAAAAAGGGTTTTCTATATATTCTTATAAATTATTTATAAACTATTTAAATTTTCAAAATCTTTTATAAACCCTAACAAATCTTATATAAACTTTTAATAAACTTATTTAAACCCTTTATAAACCCTTATAAATTCTATTTTGAAGCTTGAGCGATGATATTGCTTATGGAACCAGCCTCCTCTTTTGCAGCTTCCACCATTTGATCCTTCAAGAACAAAACAGACAGAGATTGATATTTGTCAAGACAAATCATATATAAAAAATAACTACAAGTCGTGTGTAGGTATGAGAACAAGTCCATCTACATAGCTCATGCTCCTAATTTCCAGCATCCTAAACCAAGAAGCGCACCAGCCATGACAACAACGCCCGTTGTGCCATCACCAATCTCATAATCCTGACTCCGTGATAGCTCAACCATAAGCTTCGCAATCTGGTTGTCAACATCCATTTGCTCCAAGATCGTCGCACCATCGTTAGCTAGATACACAAAAAACGACGACGTTTAAATACAATTGTAGCTTAGCAAAAGAAACTAGATAAGCTAAACGTTGAACCATAATGATGTGCTGGTAGAGTTTCTATAAGAGCTCAAGTTCATCGTTTATAATCACAGACAGTCAAGATACACTGAGAACATAAAGCCCCTATTTAGACAAACCTCTTTCTTCCTGTGAAGACTGGCCGGTACTCCTCCAAACCGGGAGTGCGCCAGCTGACTCTCGGCTTGCTCAAGCTTCTCAGCTTCATTCGTTAAAGGAACACAGTGATAAGAAAAAGAGAGCAAAAAAATATAAAAAACTACCTCATGAAAAAAGGTTAAAAATTAACATGCTCTTGCATATCCAAGAATTATTTACCCAAGTCTGATATCTGTCCAGCAACATAGTCTCCATTGCCGAAAAGTGGGGAAGAAGAAAGAGTGTTCACCCAGTACTTGTTCCAAAGGAGATCCAGAAGGTGGCTATCAAGAGATGACTTGAAGTAAGTGATGTCCAACGAATAGTACTATCACATATCCAAAAAAAATCATGCATAAAAAACGCCTCCAAGATTATAAAGAAAAGCAATAATATCAACAAGTACCAACCTGTTTGCAATGAACACCAAAGTCCTCAATCTTGTTCAAAGGGATAGTCTGATACTCAGAAACATGATCATCAGAGATCTTATGCCCCTCCGGATAAGTCCTGAACGCCCCAATCTCAACCTTACCAGCAGAAACAGTCCTTGTCGGATCAATAACAACAGCCAAGAAAGGCTCCTGATACTGTTGGTTAAGCATCTGCGTCGAGACATCAATACCCGAGAGCCAGCATCCATACCCGGGGTGAGAGTGATACCATCCCACAACATTCTCTAACCTCCCCGCCTATATTTCAAAAAAAAACATCAAATAACCAATCAAACCCTAGAATACATACTCAGCAAAAAAAAAGACAGCGACTTTAAGCGTGCAACGATGAGGGCATCTCCAAAACCCAAGAAAACAACAAACCCAGTAGCAATCTAACCAAAAGAAGGAAACTTTGCACAAGATAAATAAAAGGAGCAAAAATTACCAGCTTGTTGGTCTGAGAGTACTCAACCATATACTCATAAGCATCAGCCTGAGCATTAACCCTAGTCTCAGTGCCTTCAACAGGCAAGGCGAAAGCGTCCATAACGATGACGATATCGCCATCGGTCTTCCCCTGCATAAGACCCATGATCTCGATCGTGCCGCCGGAGCGCGCGTGGAGATTTGGACGCGCTTGAAGTAGTTGGGATCGGTGGCCCATGGCTTATCCTGCTGGATTTTGGTCTGGGAAGCTTCGTCGTAGTAGAAGATGCCGTCCGAGGAGGAGGATGAATCGGGTTGCTCCACGGTTAGGATGTTGTTCTCCAGCTCTCGGCGGTAGATTCTCTCCATCTCCTCCGTAGCCGCTGATCCTGGAGGTGGAATGACACATCGTGAACGGTGAAGGAGGCAGCGAAGGACTGAACCTCCATGATCTTTCGTCGCACTTTCGAAAGAGAGATGGCGGATCTCGCCTAGAGAAAGAAAAGAGAAGAGAAGATAGGGAAGGTTAATATTGTCTTTTGTCATTAATGAACTGTGTATTTATGAAAATGTCCCTTGAGTGGTGGTAAAGTTGAATTGTGGTATCACAAAAATGGTATTTTTGCAATTGTCCCTATATATAATGTTGTCTTAAATATCAAAGTAACAAATCTTTAGTAGACAAAAAACAAAATCATTAATCTCTATAATAGTTTTTTATGTTCTTTAACGTTAATTTTTATAATGATTAATTAAAATAATATCTTTATAAACTAAAATTATTAATTACTTTTACCAAACTCTATTTTATTTTTATTAATATATTGTGTTTTTTCTAGAAAAAAAACAAAAATAATTCTAAAATTAATTGAATTATCTGTTAATTTTGGTTAAATGTCAAAATTTGAAAGTTCAAATTCTCAAGTCTAAATTTATTTTTGGAATATCTGAAATTCTTGGAATGATAGGATTAACAGAGCCAAAGTGGCAGTCAGCTTTAAGACCAACCAGCTTATAGTGACATTGTGAAAATCACAATGCCTAGTACAAGTTATTTTTATGGGCCTGATTACATGATTTACCGGAAGTATATTAGGGGTGAAGTAACTTGCTTCTCTTATATGGGCTTTTATTGTGTATTTTAATGAAATATTTTATCTACCAAAACTGTGTTTTACATAAACTAGGTGATTTTCCCGTGCATGAGCACGGATATGAATATTCATAAAAATTAAAATTTTATAATAATTGATTGATATTTAATTTTATTTTTGAATAAATTTATATGTATAAGTTATATTAATACAAATTATATTATTCTAATTTTACATATGACTTTGGATATATTATTGTCGGTTTAATTATTTTTTGGATCAATAATCGGTTTGGTTATTTTGATATATTGGATAATATCTATTTTTTTGAATTCAGCTATAATATTTTTTATTCTAAATATAATAAAACTTTGATTAATTTTCTTATTTTCATTTCGGTTGGTTATTATCTTAGATAGATAAATATATTCTTAGATATGTAATTATACTATAGTTAAACTATGTATAACTTAATATATATTGTGCTTAAAATGAAATAAATAATAATTTGAAGTGTTTGATTCAAAAGTACATAAATGAATATAATGATAATATTTTGAAATCTCATGCATATATATATATATATATATATATATATATATATATATATAAATTCTACAAGAGAATTAAATTGTAATTGGTTAATGTTTTCTTTTTCTTTTTAATATACTTTGAGTCAACCTCTAATTTATATGTATAAAATTAAATAGATTAATATTATTATTATTATAAAATTATATGTTCTTATTGTAGTTAGATTTTTAATTTTGGATAAAAATTAGATTAGTCGAGTCATTCATTTTGTGAGTATATTGAGTTAAATATATTTTTAAATTAAAACTAAAGTATAATAACTTTTATTTTAGTTAAGTCAAATAAAATTATTTTTATTTATCTCTTAAATATAAATGTATTTTCATAATATTTATTTACTTTTTCTTTTAGTTAACTCAAATCAAATTAGTTTTATTTATCGCTTAAATATACATGTATTTTCATAATATTTATCACATTATATGTTGATTTCTATAAAATATTAGAAAATAAAGTGTAACTGATAAATTTTTGAATATTCATGAACGTATATATTTTTATTATTTTGAAAATATATTTTATGTTATTTAAAATTATATATTAATGGGGTATTACTATTTTGTGAACTTTCCTTTTTAATAAAGTCATAATATATACATATATTTTCGTTTTTAAATTTTTTTAAAAATTTTAGAGTAATTTCCTTTTTATTATATATATTATTTGGAAAAAGGTAAAAAAGAAACTAAATAAAAAAAATTAATAATAATCTTAAAATTTAACAATTCATTAAGGTATCTATGTAATCAACCATCACGAGAGTTAACGTGAACGCGACACGTATGAAACTGACTTCTCAAATAATATTATAGAGATGGAATGGTTTTCTTTTTTTCTTTTTCCATGTACATTTCTGAGCTAATTTAAATTTGATGTGCTCGAAACACATGATAAGCGATATGCTCTAAAATTTTGTCACAAATGAGGTTATCTACGCAGAAGTTTCAGCAAATTGGCTTAACTGAATAGCCAATATCACTAAAGAAAGAACGAGGTTTTCGTTTAGTTGCCGTAAATTTGTAGAAATTAATTTAGACGTATTTTGAACTTGAACTCAACAAAACAAAATAGTGATGTTGCATACGTGACTAATACTAAAGTCCAAATTGACAAACAGAATAATTTTAAATTGAGTTTGACTGTACATTTAATCTATCAGACAACTATCCCGAATGTATGTCGGGTACTGAACTCCCATCCATGGTTTTTGATTTATGTATTTCGCGGAAAACCCGGTAAGTTGAGTTGTAAACCAAAGATACAAAGGAGATATATAGAAAAGAAGGATACAAAAAGAAGAAAAATATATAAATTTGCGGCTTTAATTGCGAATTAGAATTATATCAGTTGGATCGACTTTTGGGGCCTTCTCTCTCTTCTTGTAGAGAGATTTCTCTCTTCCTACCTGATGCAGCGTACAAAGACAATCAGATCACGTCATGGTGCCATCACGTTAGAGTTAGTTCACTTGTTTGGGCTAATATTAAGATGGGCTTTATTAATAGTTGTTTAGCTATTAAACGTGTAGCTTCGTTTAGATTAGGGTTTTCACTAGCTTTCTTATTTAAAGGTTTCCTTGCTTATGTTGTAATCAGCTTTTGATGTTTAACAAAATACTTAGAGAAGTTATCTCTTTTACCTTGTTCTCGGATAGAGCTAGACTCTCAACGATCTCAAGAAGACAATGTCTCCTAGGTATTCTAAGAATCAATAGGTTACTTGCGTTATCCGTAGCTTCCGCTACACCATTTGGTATCAGAGCGGGCACTTTGATTTCTTAATCAAAGTTTGATTCTGTTTCCAGACATGTTCCTTGAAGGTTCGTGTTATTTGATGGATACATATCCATTTGTGTCATCTGAAGATCTGCGTAAAGAATTCAGAGAATTTGTTGGAGATCGGATATATGATATATACGAAGATGATGACGTTCTAAAGGTAGATTTCATATTTTCCGATGGATATTTCGAAGAACTTCATAACCCTATTAAGATCTTATTACTTGACGGAGATGACAACTGTGTGAATGCTTATATTCCAAAAGGTTGGAGATTTAATGAGTATATCTTTGTACCAGTATATCTGTGGAGAAACAAGATTCGAGGTCGAATCTTTTTCATCGTCGGAGGGACTGATGCAGCGTACAAAGACAATCAGATCACATCATGGTGCCATCACGTTAGAGTTAGTTCACTTGTTTGGGCTAATATTAAGATGGGCTTTATTAATGGTTGTTTAGCTATTAAATGTGTAGCTTCGTTTAGATTAGGGTTTTCACTAGCTTTCTTATTTAAAGGTTTCCTTGCTTATGTTGTAATCAGCTTTTGATGTTTAATAAAATACTTAGAAAAGTTATCTCTTTTACCTTGTTCTCGGATAGAGCTAGACTCTCAACGATCTCAAGAAGGCAACGTCTCCTAGGTATTCTAAGAATCAATAGGTTACTTGCGTTATCCGTAGCTTCCGCTACACCACTATCCCTCTTACCAGACTTTAATCTTTCAGAGGGAGGATGAGATTGGTCCTGTTTTTTTTTTTTATGTAAGATCACTTTCAGTCGAAAGATTGAATCTTTTGGTTCGCTTTGGCGATTTCTTTTTTCCTGTTGAGGAATAAGCTTCGCTTTATGCGATTTTGTTGTGTACTTTCAAACTGGGTTGGGTTGCTTTTTATGTTCTTCAAATTTTATCTTTTCCTAACCTGTTTTAAAATCAGTAAATATAAATCTTACAGCTTTTACTCTCGTTCTTCATATTGACATATCCTTCTGTTTCCTGAGATTCTAATATTTACGGTTGGTTATGCTTGATTTCTGTTTCTCTGAGTGTTTGAACCGAGTTCGGTGATAACGAGTGAATAATCGACGGAAACTCTTCGGTGGGTTATTACGAAGGTGTAAGCGAACAAACGAAAGCGAAAAGTGATTTTATTTATTGGAAAGTGAGGGTTACAAAGGAAACGATGATGCTCGGGAGCTCTCAAAGTTGTACGGACAAATCTAAGAACAACGCTATAGTGAAACCCTAGTTTTGTTGCCGCTTAGTCAGTCTATTTTCGGATCCCCTTTCCGTTCACCACTTCTCCGCTTTTATAGGTTATTGTACGGAAAACCTAATGGGCCGTATCCTTCGCTCCATGGGCCTCCTCGGCGGGCCTCATCATCTTACTCGGTACGGATGATGACGTAAGCTCGCACGGACTCCCTTGTCGCGTTGCGCCTAAAGGTTCTCCTCGCTCGTGCGAACCGAGTAATGGGCCTGGGCCTCTTATTCGATGGGCCTTGAGGGTTGGATTTGGCCTATCCCCTACAATAAGTCCCCCCCCAGTTCACTATAGCCGGTGGTCGGGTTTGTGAAGTGGAATAACGGTGGTCGGGAGAATAAGTTACTCGGTGTAAACCGGGTTCGGTTTAGCTTTAATCGAGGCGGTTAATCTCGATTCGCGAGATTGGTTCGATCGGGAGGCGAAGAGTTTCGGGCCGATTCACGCGTTTCTAGATGCTTCGTGGGCCCAATAGGCTTCGTAGACCTAATTATTGCTCATTGGAACGCGTGTTTGCTTCCTCCCCTATAAATAGTCTCCTTCCCCCCCTCATTTATTTATCTTCTTTGCTCTTCACAGGTATCCTCTCTCTGTCTCTTCCTCTCATTTCTCTCTCTATTGTCCAATTTATGTCTCTCG